ATATTGAACCATTCACTTTTTTCACTTTCTCTGCTCTTTAGCTTTTCATCACAGTTCAGCTTTTGACCAGTAATTAACTTGTAAATAGTTGGAGGACCACTAGAGGGCACCAGAGGACCATCAGTGATACCCGCACCACAATTTGCGAAACATGGGATTAAATACTGACCTTTGTTAATTTAGTTAGTAAGGATTTCTGTTCGCACACATTTGCACACATTGTTTACTGCAATAAAAATATCAACACAAACACCAGCTCTAATTTGTGAAACAGTTTAACTGAATAATGGACATTTATGGAGTTTGAATGCTCTAGTCTTAGTTTGAAGGACTGACGAGGTATCTCAGATAGTTGTGAAACGTGTAAAACCCTAACAGAAACCCCTCTGTTTGCATCTTCAGGTCCTGGAGTTGGATGTGATGGATGTCCGCGTTGTGGAGGAACGGAGTTACGTTGATGCCACGGAGGCGAGCTCAGGCTCTCCTGACTCCTACGCTGCTCACGTACAGAGGAAGCATTTTCTCTACTTCACAGATGAGAAGATCTTCTCTGTGCTCATGGAGGTCTGCAGAACATTAGGTATGAATATATATACTGCTTTAAACTTCACAGGACAAGCTTCGTGGTTGGAATGCATTTTTTTTCTATCCAAATCCATTTAAAAGCCATGTAAAATAGATCTAAGCAAAGAATTTGGGCACATGGCAGTTTTTGATGCTGTTTTAAATATCTGCGAATACAGATTGGTTCAKAGTTGTAAAGTAACTAAGTACAAATACTTTGTTACTGTACTTAAGTAGAATTTTTGGGTATTTGTACTGTACTTGAGTAATTATCTTTCAGCCTACTTTTTACTTCTACTTCTTACATTTTCACACAATTATCTGTACTTTCTACTCCTTACATTTTTTTAAAAAGGCAAGAAGTAAAAAGTTATATTTATTTCATTTTTTGCTTATTTTAATTCCAGCTTGTTATTATAAAAAATAAATACTATCCATATAAACTGTGCCTCCTAGATCAGTGGTTCCCAAACTTTTTATCTTCTGACCCACAAAGTATCCATGGCAAAAACTTGTGACCCCAAATATTACTGGTCTGAGTGCACAAACTTTGTTAATAACCCTAAAAACACAGG